TTACACGCCTTGGTGAGTCGTGGGGGTTAGGCTATTCAGACATCAGGATCAGCCCTCAGTTGTAGGTCGTGGTAATGACTCGTCTACTCATGTCGGTGATTAATGGCTAGGCTCTTTGTATGCAGAAGGCGTGAATTTGATTTCCAAGGGGGGGTGTAAGTTAACGAGTCGCTACCTTAGAATTACAAAGTTCTGACATTTTTGGCAGTGTTAAGCTATGTTAAGACCATGAAGTCAAAAAACCAAATGTTTTATCAGCTTCATCAAAATCTTGAGATTACTCGGAGTCGTTACCAAGATGTTCAAACAACTGAATTAGCATCTCAAAAGCTTGACATGATGTGAAACTCAAACAATTGTCACGTCAAATTTATCAAACGTATCACGTACTGAGCAGATAGAACCGAGTAATTCTAGGGTAGCAGAGTATCTCTGTCTTTGTAGTGGAATGTTGTGTTGCAATCAGTCCAGGTTGGCTCTGAGATGCGAGCCATCAGAAGCCTGAGTCCAGAATATTCTGAAGGTGTTTATTTATCATCAAGTATCTTTCTTAGGACAGACATTTATTGGGGTTGTGGGTCACCATCCCTCTCTCTCTTTTCTTCCATGCCCTCCTGACTGAGCTGTGGAGTCAATGTTTTATATTGATGTCAATGGCGGTGTGAAATGTTTACGATAAGACAATAGTTATGGGGACGCGTCTTCGGCAAGGCTACAAAGCTGGTAGAGCTCTTAGGTTCTATTGTTTGGCTCTTAACCTTCAATGCAAGAGACACGAGTTCAGTTCTCACTCGGGTTAGAGCGGACGTCTGTGGTGTTATGTTTCGGCGCTTAGAGTTTAATTACCACACGGTAAAATATTCAAGCGAAAAGTAACGTTTTGCCTCTATGATATTATAAAAATAGATTGTAACTGTACATATTTAGAAGGCGCGCTGATTCTACCAGCTTCTCAGGGCCACCCCGAGCTGAGATGGATGCGACACACCGGCATACTGACGGAGTGACAAAGATACTTGATTACATTTTAAAAGTATATTCCCTACCTAGCCACCGAACTGATGTCTTCTGCGTGTGGCTGTGATGCGTCTAATCCTTATACACCACTAAGATATTGTATCCCATTTAACTTTTTAAATGACGTAATGGGCACATTATGTGCCGATCAACGGCCGACCAATGGTAATGCTACATCACAGTTCGAATTAGTATAAACACATACCAGGAACACGAGTTTTAACAATCCATAGCTCAAATGCTGTTGCCTACCTTTCTAAAATAAGTTTACGATAACAAAAACAGAAGTAAAAAATCTGTAGGAATAACGAAGTTGTGCATCTTTTTGTTGTTTACAGACATAGCAAAAACGTACCAGAAAATCTTTCATCAAACTGTACGTTTCGCTACCTCAGAATTACATAGTTCTATCCCCACAGCACCAAGGTTTGAGAAACTTGATGTCAAACATTTTGAGTTTCACATCATTTCAATCTTTTTCAAATTAAATTCTTTGAATATCTTGATATTGGCTCCGAACAATTTTTCTATTTTTCTGACCTCATGGTCTTAGTAACTCAAAGCAGCCAAAAACATCAGAGAGAACTTTGTAATTCTAAGGTAGCAATTTGCTGCTTGGATCATTCATTTCTACTCAGTTTAGTATATTTATCTTTGTAAAAACGTAAAATATAAAGAAAGGGGGTTGGTAAGGAAGTCTTTGTTTGTTTTTGTAAAGTGTTTTACGGCGCTCGCAACTGTATAAGGTCATATGAGCGCGCGGGACACACCTAATATTTTCAGTTGGTAGGAAATTTTGAATTTTGCCCGGGTGGCGAAGCCTACTCTTATCGATTTTAGACCACCAAGGGATCTTTAACGTGC